CCCAAACACTGACTAGAACAGCGGTTCTCAACCTGTGGGTCACGACCCCTTTGGCGGTCGAACGACCCTTTCACAGGGGTTGCCTAAGACCATCCTGCATATCAGATATTTACATTACGATTCATAACAGTAGCAACATTACAGTTATGAAGTAGCAATGGAAATAATTTTATGGTTGGGTCACAACATGAGGAACTGTATTTAAAGGGCCAGAAGGTTGAGAACCACTGGACTAGAACAGTGATGGTGAACCTTTTGAGCTCGGCATGTCAGCATTTTGAAAAACTCTAACTTATCTCTGGTGCCATGTCACATATAGAAATTTTTTGATATTTGCAACCATAGTAAAACAAAGACTTATATTTTTGATATTTATTTTATATATTTAAATGCCATTTAACAAAGAAAAATCAACCAAAAAAATGAGTTCGCGTGTCACCTCTGACACGCGTGTCAGAGGTTCGCCATCACTGGACTAGAATATTCCACACTACTCTTGCCCCTTCTGAATACAGAGCTCCAGAGAGGCCGACCCCAGGAAGAGGAAGAGGTAGATGAAACCTATTAATCTCTTCCAGACTCATTTCCTGATTTCCATTACAGGTATCCTGCCACCACCACTACATGATGGGTTTGATTTCTGTACCCACCTCCAAGTGCTCCACTGCTGGCCCAGCCTAGGAGCTGGTTTTACCTCTTTGTCAAGATACCCATGTGTCTCACATCTCTTATGCTTCTAGCTTTCTTTCTTTTTTTTATATGTGTTTTTGAATTGAGAGAGAGAGAGAGAGAGAGAGAGAAACATTGATGAGAGAGAAACATCAACATTGATCCACTGCCTCCTACCCACCCCCCACTGGGGATCAAGCCCACAACCCAGGAATGAGCCCTGACTGGGAATCGAACTGGTGACCTCTTGGTGCATGGGTCAACACTAAACCACTGAGCAACACAGCCAGGCTGCTTCTAGCTTTCTAAACTCAGTCTAAGTCTATTTCATCTCATTTGGTATTCAGCAGCCACACTAAAGAAGCCCTCTCTGACTAATTAGAGAAAAAGTAACAAATTCTCCCACTTGCCTCTTGGCATAGGCACCCCATACACTAGCTGCCTTTAAACATACGTTCCTTTCTTGTAGCCGATATTACTGCAATTCACTTCGACTTGCTGTCTGTGTGTTCTTGATCTCTATCAGCCTCCATGATGTCTGGGTTAGATTGTGCAACTCCCAGAGGGCAGGGCCACATGGGCCATGTGTCTTTACACTTTGCTCAGCAGAGCAGCAGGCATAGGTGGGCACTTAATACTTGTGATGGTGGAAGCCGAGGAGCAGCACTGTGCCTAGACCATTGTGAGTGCACAAAAAAACAACCCACTAACACAGCCAGACCATGACCACAGCGCTCCTCCTGCCAGACTGGGAGCCAGGGCACATTTTTCCTTTTAAACGAGGCAGGGGGAGCATTCTCTTGCATTTGAGACAACAACAACACACTGTAACAGCACTGATGCTCAATGACCTTGTATATTGGGGATGATCATCATTATCTCAACTTAAAAAAATGAGGACCCAAGGCACAGAGAGGCTATACAATTTGTTCAGACCTTGAGCAAGGACCATCTAGCTTCAGAGACCTCCGCTAACCCACCAGGCTTCACTGTCCCTCAAAGTGAACTAGAAATGGAGAGCAAAGGATTGGTGACTGGGCTCTTGTCTTACACGCTCATGGACCTTGACCCTGATCCAACCTGAATGAATGGCTGAAAGGAGGAGAGTGGGTACTTGGTCAGTTTTCTAGGGTGAAGCCAAGTTGTCTCTCAAAGCATTTGTTCACACCTGCTCATCGCCCTCCTCCTGTTTCTCAAACATGCTCAGCTTATTCACACTGAGGCCTTTAAACCTGCTGTTCCCCCCATCTGAAATGATTTTCCATCAGGGGGTCCTCCTCACCATGTCGGTGTCAGCTCAGAGGGCACCTTCTTAGGAAGGCTGTTCCTGAACACTGTATCTAATGTAGCTGCATCTTTCCCAAGCCCCCCGCCTCCTTTCATTCTTGTCTAACTCATTTTCCTGTTTCACTTTTATCAAGGCAGTCAACACCATCCGAAATCACTTGATTTATCTAGTAGTTTATTTGTCAATTTCTGTATCTCCACTAGACTGTAAATTCAGGAGAGCAGAGATCTCAACTGTTTTGTCTATTCCTGGATACTCAGTGCCTAGAACAGCATCTGGCACACTGTAAAAGCTCAGTCCATGTGTATTAAATGCATTTATGAATGAGTGATGCGAAATCCTGTATAAATATGTGACACTAGCTGGATCTTTCAGTTGTCCCTCACCAAATATTGGCAGGCAGAGACCACATCTTCGTGTTTGGCAGTCTTTTAGCCCTTGGAGTAGTGGCAGATGACTGGGGAGCTGTTCAGTCCCTTTGTTTGGCTGCAGGGAAAAGACCAAGACATTCAGCCCTGAGATTACAGTCTGTCTGCACGCCTTTCAGGGTCACATGTGGACAAATGCTGGACAGCTCTCTTCCTGAGCAGAAAAAAACTAAGATACTGAAATAAAATCTTAGCTTCTCTCCCCTCCCTCACTCTCCCTCTCCCTTCTCTAGAAAGTTTTCCCTATCTCCTCCCTCTTTTGTCTCCCTTCCTTATTGAAATGCTGTGGGGGAAAATGAAGAAAAAGTGGGGAAATGCCTTCCCCACATCTAAGCTACATTGCTTTTAATACTTCTATAACATGTTCTCATTCTAATCTCCTGGCTCCTGCACAGATAAAGCAAATCCCAAAATGTAATGATAATATACAGGAAATACTTGATTTGATCCAGTCTTAATGCTGTCACAATATCCTATTTCTCCCACATAATAACAGAGCCCATTCCTCTCTCAGTGTTGTTAGCTTTTTTAGTCAATGCTTTCTTCATGACACATCATGAGAATAATAAGTGAGAAAGAAAATCTTTTAATCTCTGACCCAACCCTGTAGCACACGAAGTGTTTCACAATATGCTTAATGATGTCATTCTTTTTCTCTTCTCAACAAAATACTGCTTTTTTGTGATCAAAATACATGCAATTATTAATCCCTTTCGAGGCATTTTCATGCTCATTATCTCCTGGGTCTTCTCAACAAATATGAGAGAAGGAGGGGAAGCAGAAAAAGGTGTCTTGAAATCACAGAAGTGGAAAAAGAACCCAGTGAGATAAAGCTATTTGGACTGCACACACCCATCAAATAGTCTCCAAGTCATGCTGTTCTCTATGGACTAGGGTACTCTTACCAGAAGACACACTCCCAGCAGCCCCTGTGACATGCAGCCCTGAGCCAGCCCATATGGGAGAAGAAAGAAATAGCTTAAGAACTTAAGAGACTAAGTAATTCCTTGTCTGGGAATGGATGAGGCTCCTGATTCGGGCAAAATTCTGACCAGGTGGTCCCCAAAGTGAGGTTCCCTCTTGCTCTCAGCCAAGCCACTCTGCCTTGTGTCTCTGCTGGAGACCCAGCACTGGAGGTGATGCGGAGGGCTGGGAAAAGGGCATGGAGCAGGGACCCTGGACCTTCTCCCCTAACTGAAGTCCTCAACTCTGGGCAGTCCTTTATTTGGGACTTCAGGCAATCATCATTACAAGAAGGAATCCCGCCCTCAAACTCTCAGAGATATGTATTCATCTGGATGTCTGTATCTGCTTCCCTCATAATGCCCAGGGTGTGGCCTCAGTCATCATCTGTCCATGAAGTGCTTTCCCCATTCAGAGCAGAGATAAAATGAATGAAAATGTCAGCCAGGCCTGCCTCTTACAGAGCAAGCCCCCAACAAGAACCAGGACTACTCGGGACACCAGCATGGCATCCTAGTGCACTGCCATTTGTTCGGAGAGCACCTAGAAGTCTCCCCTCCACTTCCAGGAAATCCACAAAGAAGTGGCTGATGTGATCACATAACCCTGCCCAGAGCCCAGGTGAGTATTCTTTCCCCAGAATGAGTGACTAGAGCTGATGTTCAGGTCTGGGATTCTGTGGAAAGAGCTGCCACAATATGACTCTGGAAGAATGTACACATGCTGTCCAGCATTGCAGACACTAGATTGAAAGTGGAGCTCACAGGGGTGGGGTAAGTATGTCTATGAACATCTGAATGAATGGGGTAGTGAAAACTCTCAGACTTGGGAAGACTCTGGTCTGTGAGGTACTTGCCATTCTCTATCCTGGATGGGGAGAGTGGAAGGGACAATCTCAGTTTATGTGCTTCAGGCCTGAGGAGGGGACTAGATACAACAAGAGTCTCTATTAGTCTCTCTATTTCCTTTAAATTCACTCTCACCCCACTTACCTACCTGCTTTCAACCTAGGAAACACAAGTCTGCCAAGAAGTGTCTTAGCAAACTGCAGTCTCCTTGGACCTAGAATCCTTCTCCATTTTCTCTGCAGTGACTAAAACACACTGCTGAGAAGGAAATGTAATATGGGAGGGGACAGTCTCTACATGAAAATGAAGGAACAGGCACAGGCTCATTGGGTTTCGGTCTATAAGAATAGGGAAAGTGGACAAGATCTCTGCTCACTTTCATGGAGGGAAGAAGTTTAAATCTGGGACTGAAGAAGAGCTGGGGAAAATGCCACTCACAATAAATCAGACAAAAGGACATCTTCATGACAAGTGTGAACGGACCACCAAGTTCCTTCATTTCATTGCTCCTGACTCTGGATCTTCTATTTTGAGGACACTTATGGAATTTTCACGTGGAACTGAAGATACTAGCATTGGAAGGAACATGCAAACACTGGATACAACCGAGCCACCAAACAGGCTCCACCAGGAACCAGACCCTCTTGGGGCAAACTTAACCAAAAGAACATCATTGAGAGTCTTAAAACTTACAGTCCTCACATTAGGCACAACATAATGGTTCCCCAGAGCAAGTAGGCGAGTAGCAATCTGCGAGATCTGGAGACACTACAAGGAAGCAGGAAAAGGGGGAAATGGCCTTACCTGTTCTGGCCCCTGGAAGCAGATGCGGCACAGCGGGGTCCTCATGCCACTGTCCAGGCTGCTGCCCAGTGAGTAGCAGTCCTCAGCCTTCCCCTTACAGAAGTCATTTGAGGAGGCACTGCTGAGCAGTGAGGCAGGTGGCTCCGTGGCTGGGACACCCCAGTCATCTTCCACAGAAGAAGGTGGCAAAGGTGGTGGAGGTGGCAGAGGAGGCGTCTCCCTGCCCACCCCTTCTCGAGGGCCCCTCCAGCCTGCCCACCCCCCGGCACCCAGAGCCGGAAGGGTATTGTTGTTGGCGGTCAAACCTGGGGGCTGGGGGTCTCCGTGCATGGGCAGGGGTGCTGGAGGGGGGCGCCGAAGTAGGAAAACCTTCAGGTCATTGAAGAGCATGCGGCAGCGGCACTTGAGGAGACCCTGGTGGCGCAACATCTGGGGAGCTGGGGTGCACAGTCCAAAGCGGTACCAGGCACAGCAGTAGCAGCAGCACCACCACCAAAGCAGCCCACTCAGGGGCATCAGCATGTGCCCAGTGGGAGCAGAGAGCCCGGGAGGGGCAGCTGAAGTCTTTGCAGAAGATAGGATGGTTTTGAGGGGTCCACAGAGTATCTGTGTTATGCGGGAGTCTGCTTTCTCACTGGTTCCTCCAAGTAGCAAATAAATTACCCCCAGGACTGAAGACTGCAAGTCACTGATTCTGAACTTTACCTGGAAAGCCCAACAATAAAAGCTTCTCTTGCTTCCACCCCACCTCACCCCAACCTTAGGCTTTGCTCAGGCTGCCTCCTTTCTGCCTTTGACCTGGGGGCACTGGTAGAGGGAGGGGGATAAAAGAAATGTTGAGGATAGTCTGTTAGGGCCTTGAGATGTAGGTCTAATTGTTAGAAAGTTCCCCAGGAGAGGATTATTGGGTTGTTCTCAAATTCATAGACAATGGGCAACCTTTCTTCTTGTATATAAAAAGGTGGGGAAGATTATAAATCAAATTTGGAGTGGACTGAGCTGGGATTAGGGCAAACTAGCTCAATGAAGAATTGAGGACTGTATGTGTGAGAGGGAAAAGATTATTTCTTCAGGTAGCCAGAGATTGGGGGTGGGGGCGGGGAGGGGAGGTAAGGTAGGAAGGAGAGAGGGTGGGGACAAGTTTTAATTCTCCTGGGCAGAAAACTGGGGCAATTAACCCCAGAAGCACCGGTGTTGCTTTTAAGAGAGCAGTTGGATGGGGGGAAGGGATTACAGGTGAACTTGGACAAGGGTCTTGTGCTTTGCCTCTGCAGCCAAAGGGCTGCACAAAAAAGGGAAAGCTAATCGGGAGAATAAAGGTGGGGAAATAAAGGACCGAGGAAGGAGAAAGAAAAGATCTTTTAACCCTTGCAAAGTGCCTTCTTCCTGGAAGAAGGGTGTGTATGGGGGGAGGGGGAGGGAGGCAGTGGAGCAGAGAAAAGGGGTAGAGAAGAGGGGTGTGTAGAAAGGGACAGAAGGAAGTAGTTACATGACCTCAGCCTTTAGCCCACTCTGCGACAGTCTGTAAATCCTCGGACCCCTCCCCTGGGCTCCATCAAAGGTCCCTTCCGGCGAGGGGCGAGGGCCTGGAGAAGGGCAGGTCCGGGCGGGTATGTGGCCTCGCGTTCTCCTCCTCGTCCTCCGCTGGACGGTGGTCGCCCCCTTGGTCTGGTTCCGGGTCTGCCCGCGGCCGGCGAGGCTGCTGCGAAGGCGGTGGCGACTGCTGGTCGGCGTCTGGGTGTCTCCGGGGCGGGGGTTCCTCTGGCTGC